ATAAGAAAACACCTTAGAAACAACAACCTGTTAAAAGCACTGAGAACTAGCAAGTTTTTTTTCACAGGCAAATGCCAATTACATTTTCTTTAAAAATCTACACCATCTCTGAAATCTCTGAAATGTTTTCAGTGTGGTGAGCAAAAACTGATGCTAGGTATACTGAGGACTAGTTTATTACAGTGGATAATTTGATATAATCCAAAGTGGTGATTATTTTCCATAGGCCTATTTGAAGGGAAGTTGAAATAAAGGAAGGTGGACGATTAACCATGAAGTGTTGCTAAGTGCAACAGTTTTCATGCATTTACATGTTTACATACTTTTTTAGGCTGCATGTTAGTAGTTCTTACATTTATATTTAGACATTTAGCAGATGCTTTTATCCAAAGCGACTTACAAATAAGGACAATGGAAGCAATCAAAATCAACAAAAGAGCAATAATATGTGCTGTGACAAGTCTAATGCAGTACACATTGCAAGGTTTTTTTTTAATAATAAATAAAAAGAAAAAAGTAGATAGAATAGAAAAAGAATAGAGAACTCTTCAAAATATAAACAGGCAATTTAATGTTTACACTTTTTCAAATGTTCTAAAGAAAATGTAGACGATTCTTGTCGATGCAATTGCTTGTACAATTTCCCTCCTTATTCTGAAAATACTTATAACAGAAGAGTAATAACAACCCTTACGAAAATTAACCATGGTTTTACTATAGCAAAAATGTAGTAACAGTGTTTTTTTTGCCATATTGACTATACCATATTGTATAACCAGTTTTAATACAAATGCCATGGTTAAACTATGGTTAGTGAAACAAAAATATAGTTGAGTTGTGGTTACCATGGTTTAGCTAACTGTTCTGTTCTTTTTTTTTTTTTGGTAGTAAAACCATGGTTAATTTTCATAAGGGAACCCTACACTTTAACCCATTAAGTCACCTATGAAACAGCAAGGCCATTTGTACATAAAGTAGCCTACACTCTAAAAAATGCTGGGTTAAATATAACCCAGCGCTGGGTTAAAAAGGGACAAACCCAGCTATTGGGTTGTTTTGACTCAAAACAACCCAACCGCTGGGTCAAAACAACCCAACCGCTGGGTCAAAAAAAAAAACAATAGCTGGGTTTGTCCCTTTTTAACCCAGCATTTTTTAGAGTGTAGAAGTCACTCAACAAGTCACATGATTTGAGGTGTCATTCATGTGTGTAGTCCGAAATGCCATTTACTGGCATGGGACAAACTACACACTGAAGTTTACTTTTGACAAAATAAGACAAAACAAGCAAAATAAGTCATAAAAATCACAATATTTCTTGTTTTAATTTACCCCCTCGACAACAGTTTTTTTCTTTCTTTGAAAAACCAGGGTTCCCACTGCCTAGATAGAATTTTTTTTATATACATTTAATACATTATACAATATTTTTTAGTATTTTTTTTTAAATCACTGTCCTTAATCTTTGCCTATTAAATCAACTAGACAATTCATGGGACTATAGAGAACCACTGGATTAGGGGTTTGTTCCAATCCTTCAAATAATAATAATGATTCTTGGCTTATCAAACACCACTATAAATCTTTAATATAATTAGTCATGTTAGAAATGTTGATTAGTATTATTAACAGCAAAACACTCAATCTGCCTTTTAAGCAGAACATATATAAAACATATATCCAATGAAATGCTTCAGTTGGTTTTATCGTACACTTGTATACGCTACAAGACGGACAGAAATGCTGACTACCTGTATCTTCTTAACCATTACGCCATTGACCCAAAGTCATGAACGTGTAGCATCAAACATATCCCGACTTTATACATGGCTCCGCTTTCCACTCCAACCCTTTTATCCGCATGAAAATGTCAGTTTCATAGTGAAATAAATAAATGCGACTGTCGGCCGGCAAATCAGCGACAATAACTTGAGCGACATGACCCCGTAAAATATTTATACCCTGTAGTTTAATCAATCAGACTCATTACGGGAATATGAACAGATTGTGTGATCTTTTAAAGTAATCACCCTTATTGCTTGAGATTTCCCTCGGCCTTGTCGTGTCACTTAAGCTAATGGGAAGGTAAGAGAATGAGAGACTGGCCCCATAAATTCACATCTGTCCCGACTTTAACCGCAGCTCAAACACACACAAAAAGGCCAAGTTTTAGTAATAAACTTTATTGAAAAAGGCTCAGCCTTTTCTCTTTAAATGCAAGCTTGCGTTCGGGACAGGCATTTATTATGCTTGCGGGAAATCTATCAAACAGATGCGAAATGTGGCTTAATAATCAAGATAAGCGACTAGCTACCCGTCACGATGATTATGATTGGCTTGGAGTCAGCAAAAGGCCGTGTTTGTTTTTCCTTGCCGCAATAAATATTCAGCCTATCCTTGAGATGTGATTTCTGAATGTACACGTAGAAAACTGCTAATGTTTACTTTTATGCGCTACTGCCTAATTTCAATGCTCGGCCTACCTAAACTTGAAGCGAACGCTATATTTATAGCTGATTGTGCAATGACTGTTTTAAATACGTAAACTTCAACCCAGTGGTGTCCAATAAAGCAAGATGGTCTGGGATTTCAAATCTAATTTAAACCTAGAAATAAGGAATAGTGTCAATCAAAAAGGTCCAGTCAATGCAACAGAACTTTAACAAATGCGATGCATTTACACTGTATTTCCTACTCCTCCCTGTGGCCTTTATGGCACATCTGTGATTTACTGAAGGAGAGAAACTCTGGAGGATCAAAGGCACTCAACACTGACCCATAATCCCTGGCTAATTAAATAATTCACTAATTGATTCCTCACTAAATCAATAAAGCAGGAGATGGTTTATTGGGTTGGTATAGCATAGGTGACCAATCGGTTGCAACCAGAATGATGTATTTTTATTAAGCATGAATATTATTATTCCTACAGAGTTAGTGATTTGAACAAACCACAAAAACTAGGCATTAACTTTAGTACATGTGGTTAGACTCTTTTGGCCAGTAATCAACCAGTAATGAACAAACATCAAAAGAGCAAAATGTTCTGTTGGAAAATCCAGATAAAACCAGTCTAAGGTGATGGTTTTATGCGGTTTTTAGCTGGTCATTCATGATCGTTAGCTGGTTTAAATAGTTGATAAAACGGATTACCGTCAGATGGATGTAGTTTCAACATGATTGACCACCATGGAATAGCTAAATAAATAAATTAATTTGCATTTATTTTACTTATTGGTTGATTGCATGATGACATTATTCTCAAACCTTACAATTCTCATTACTGTAATTGGAGGAAAAATAATGCAAAAAATACTGATATATTATTTATATGAAGTATTCATACTTGGCAGTATTTTTCTATGCTTTAATTTAAGAAAATAAAAATACAGCTCAACATTAAGCACATTAAGTTTCGAGATTTATGAGATTTGTGTGGAAAATATGCTTAATCATCATGAAAATAATGTTACCATGCAGAAAATCTTTATTTATGCTATAAATATCTATCCTTTGTCTGTTGGGGTGAAATGCAAGATGTTCTAAATGCATATAGTCAGTGTGCAAACATCACCCTAACCATCATCATATAATTAAACATACTAAAAAATATGAGCCTCAGACAAAACAAAGGTACAGTAGGTTTTGTTTGACCTTGATGTGGACTATAACATGACATCATTTCATAGCCTCATAGCGGGATCATGAAAGCAGAGACGGCCAGCCAATGGAGGACAGTCCCACACGCTCCCCAGACCATAAACATTGTTTCTGTATAATGAATGATTATCCAGAGAGGGCCGACTGGACTTAAGTGGGATGGTTTGCATGGATGGAAATGCTAATTAAAGTCTAATTCATCCCACTGGAACTGTATCTATGTCTGTGCATTGCATTCTCTGTCTGAAACTGGCGATGTTTAGGTGAACGTGTGTCCATATGCAGTTTATGGCCTCTCTGTCCCCCGTCTGTGGCATAAGGTCAATGATGAGATTGATTATGATGAACATTGAGTCAGAACGTCACTTTTGACCCGCACAACCCCCACAAACCATAAATTCAGGTGCCTAAACAGCCTGTAATAATCGTTTCATACCTTCAAAACAGCGGAGAGGGGTTTGATCAGACTTTCAGTAGTTGGTCATTGAGGAAACTCAAGTTTTTGTAAAGGTCACAGTTTTTGTGAAGGTCAGCCACTAAATAAACAACATAAAAAAAAAAAAAATCACATTGTTAGAGCGAACCAGCCATCATTTAGTTTTTGTTTTTTGGATGCCCTCCTCGGGTCAGCAGCAGAGAAATTTTGAATTCATTTGTCCAAAACAAAAGGTCTGTCTAAAGAACATGAAAGAACATATACAGTATATATATCCGACTCTATCAGAGTGCTATTATAAAATGATGCATCAGATGGCAATACCCTGTAATTTCATATATGCCATGCATGGAACTATATGACTAATATATTTGTGAACCACATCATTTATATGGAATAAAAGTTCAAAGTACATTGAAGTGTAACACCGTATTAGTTTCTAAAACACCATGGTATTACCAGTGTTTTGGGGCATAAAGACACATCACTACAGATGTCAAAAAAATAAAATAATAATATCATTACAAAATGTCAATAAATACTCACCAAACCCCGTTTTCAGTTTGCTGAGGCCTGTCCACTAGAGATCACAACACAACTGGAGCAACATCTCCCTCGAGTGGTGATAATGAAACCTTTAAGAAAACCTAACCGACTCCATCTGTCACTGTTTCAGTCACCCTTTATTCACCATTTATAAAAGGAAAGAGATGGACGTAAATGAATGCCAAGATACATGTCTCCAGTCTTATATCCTATAAATGAACAAGCTTACATAATATTAATAATTCCTGAACAGAAGCAAACCTGAACAGAATTTCATGTGCAAGTTAAAACATCCTTTAGAAACACAACATCAAAATGAAGAACAGCCACCGCTGAATCTGAATATTTTATAAGGTTGCTTTAAAGAACACCTTAATACTGTAAGCAATTAAAGAAACTTATACTAACTGAAACAAATGTGTACCTGTTAAAAAAAAGAAAAGTGGGCGCATCCTTTTTGCAAAGTAATGTGAACTAGCATTAACAAGTTTTCACAGGCATGACCATTTTTTATACATCCTCTCCAAGTCTGAAAGAAATACTGAGCGTAGCATAACTAACACCACTTTCACTTGCTGATAAAAGCGGAGCACTACAGTTGCTTAAAATTACTTATTCTTTAATTCACACATTTTCAGGCATTTTCCTTCATTAAACAAGAGCAGAACAATTTTTCAATGCTACAACATACATAAGATTTTGCTAACCATTTAGTCAGAAATCTGTTTCACAAATGAAGTCCAATGGCAGGAACACAGCTTTTTGTCTTTGGGCCTTTGCAACAAAGTCCCACAAAAACCTCAGATGTCTTGCTTTATCAGCAGAACTGTTGTTTAAATAACCTAACTAATGTCATTTTAAACAGCTAAAATTCCAATCAAAGCCCTCATAAATATATATTGGTTTTGGTTCCTTAAAATGTACAAGCTAATAAATCTGGAGAAAGACACATAAGCCAAAGTACAATCTGAAAATAACTGGTTTGATGATACATAACCGGTGCCTTTGATAATGCAGCCATTACAGCAAATAAAGCTACTGCACTCTATTGTGTGGTTTGTGTGCCATAACAATGAATCCCACAAAATCAGGAACATGTCCTGTTCATATTTTATTCCAAAATCATAAAATAATTTCATTGCTCAATATGGATTTTGGGGTGAAATATGAGACATTGATGCGAAGGCTAGTGTTTGAATGTGTAATCATGGTGTGCTGAGCTCACTGAGGTAAGACAGAGCAAATGTTTGCAAGGCTTGTGAGTTCAGTGGGTTGTTTTTGTCCGAAAGAGAGAGAGAGTGCATAGTCCAAAACATCCAGAGTCCACTGGAAAACAGACATGAAATCTCAGTGGAAGCATCATATTCTGTTGGTATCTACGTCTGTACCGTTTGAGTCCCAAAGGTTCTGGACCTGGTCAAGGACCCAGCTGATTCTGGGCCTTTCCTGAGGATTGGTCACCATAGTGGAGCTGAGGAGGGTTTGAAGACCTTGAGAATAACTGTCAAAGATAAAAACATGCTAAAGATAGGAGGTCTCTTTGGCAGGTTAGCATTCTCCATTTATCAAGATGCTGGAATATATTTCCATTAGAAAATGTTACAGCACTAAGCCAAATCCTAGCCTCACATTCCATGACTAAAAGTGTTCATAACAAGCAGATTTCTGTTAAAAGTGACTAGGATTCATTTGGTCATGTAATCTAAACATGACAGCCCTCATGAGGCAACCCACTGAATGGCTTTTTTGGATGTGTAAAATGTTTGTATTATAATATTTGTTAGAATTTGTATAATATTTGAACATTATTTAAAATATAATATGATAAACAAAAATAAAAATATATATT